CCTCAACCCCTCCTCACCAAACTCACCTTCCCTCAACCCCTCCCAACTCAACTCACCTTCCCTCAACCCCTCCCAACCCAACTCACCTTCTCTCAATCTCCGCAAACCCAACTTCTCCCGACCCAGCCCTTCCCAAGCAAACTCAACTACTCTCGGTCCCCCACAACCTAATTCAGTCCTTCCAAACCCAACATAACTTCAACCCAACCCAGATCAATTCCTCCGAAACCAACTCAATGTTTCCCAGCCCTTCCCAACCCAATGTAACCCAGCTCAACTTTGATTCTCTCAACCAAATATAACCTAACAAAACCCAGCCCCTCCCAATCCAGTGTAAATTCTCCCAACCGCTTCAGCTCCTCCCAACCCAACTCAGCCCCACTAAGCATGAAACACCCTTCCAACCCAACCCAATCCATACCCACCTCAACCTGGCCTCAGTCCAAAGTCAACCCAACACATCCCGAAGCAAATAAAACAACACCTTAGTACAACTTCCACCCATTCCAAACTGAACTGACAAGTGGCAAGTAACATTCACACTGCACAAATGCCAGGCAATGCCCATCTCCAATTAGAGACAATCTAATTACTGCCCCTTGGCATTCAGCAGTGTTACCATCACTGAATCCGTCACTATCAACATCCTGGGAGCTATCATTGAGCACAAACTCAACTGAATCTGCCACATAAACACAGCGGCTACAAGAGCAGGTCAGAGGCTGGGAATCCTGCAGCAAGTAACTCCCCTCCTGACTCCCCCAAAGCCTGTCCCACTATCGACAAGGCACAAGGCAGGAGGGTGAGGGAATACTCCCCACTTGCCCTGGATGGGGGCAGCTCCAACAACACTCAAGAAGCTCGACACCATCCAGAACAAAGCAGCCCCCGCTCGATTGGCACCACACCCACAAACATCCCACTCCCTCCCCCCACCGACGCTCAGTAACAGCAGTGTGTACCATCTACAAGATGCTCTGCAGAAATTCACCAAAGATTCTCAGGCAGCACCTTCCAAACCCACGACCACTTCCATCCAGAAGGACAAGGGCAGCAGGTACATGGGAACACCACCCCCTGCACGTTCCCCTCCGAGCCACTCCCCATCCTGACTTGGAAATATATCCCCGTTCCTTCAGTGTCACTGGGTCAGAATCCCAGGAATTCCCTCCCCAAGGGACACTGTGGGTCAACCCACAGCACATGGACTGCAGGGGTTCAAGAAGGCAGCTCAACCCCACCTTCTCAAGGGGGGGCAACTAGGGACAGGGCAATAAATGCTGGGCCCAGCCAGTGACGCCCACATCCCAAAAGGGAATTTTAAAACACCAAACACCGCCAAATGGACAATCCAACTGAACTGAGACCCTCTAATCAACAGTGCGACCTCAGGCTAACACTAACCCAAAGCCCAAATAAATCAATTTATTTTACCTCAAGCTAACTATTACTCATCCCAAGTTCAACCCACCCCAGCACTGTAAGCTAGTACAGCTGACACCATCACCTCCTCAATGCAGCCCCTGAACACTCATAACACATCTACACCATCTCCATCAAACACTCCCCGGACGGGGAGAGCACGGGGTGAGATACAGAGTAAAGCTCCCTCTACACTGTCCCCATCAAACACTCCCAGGACAGGGACAGCACGGGGTTAGATACAGAGTAAAACTTCCTCTACACTGTTCCCCCCATCAAACACTCCCAGGGACAGCGACAGCACGGGGCTAGATACAGAGTAAAGGTCCCTCTACACTGACCCCCCCCCCCCCCCAACCAAACACTCCCAGGGACAGCACAGGGTTAGATACAGAGTAAAGCTCCCTCAAAATTGCTGAACAAACAGAGTGTCGGTGCATGCTCGGGTGAGCAGATCCCCTTTGCACTGTGTGGGACTACCTGACCTCAGCTCCTCAGTGTTTCAGACTGAGCCGACCACCCTGTGGGCTGTGCTGCTCTCTGCACTGTTATCGGGAAAGGACTTGTTAACATCAGGACACTGACTGACCCAGAACTGAAAAAAACTGCAGCGCCAGACAACCAACCAGCTCCTCAATGTTGCTCCCCACTTCAGTACAATCACCCTACCTGAAGCTGCGGTTTCCCTCCTCACTCCCAGATTACTTAATTCCAGCAGATTCCAAAAAAATCTATCCACCTCAGTCTCGATCATGCTGAGCAATGGTGCCTTTCGGTGCAGGGATTTGCTAAGATTCACCTGCATCTGTGTGAGTAATTCTCTCCAGTCAGTGACCAGCCCTGTATCTAACCCCATGGCAGATCCAATCCCGCGGTCTCACTTGCGTTCGCTTCAGGGTCACTTTCGCGAGAAACGGTGGATTGGGTCTTGTCTGCACTTACTTGTTGTGATAATCTCCTCGATTGGCCAGAAAGTGGGAGACGGTGAGGGTTCTGTTGACAACGAAAGGGAGGATTTTACAAAATGATTTTGTTCCCGTTTTTACAATAATCGTTTCACAGCAATGGCATTTTATTCCAAAGAAGCATGATTGCAGCCCAAGATTTGCTGTATAACTTAGACCCAAAAATGCTAATTAACAAATAATGGGTAACAGCGATTCACAGCAAAAATGGACAAACCAAGCCAGAAGAGGGCTTAACAAAACGAAATTGAACTAAAATTATGCTAAAATGACAAAATAATGAACCGTTTCCACAATAAAAGGCCAAAATTGCTGGAGAAATGCAGCAGGTCTGGCCTCTTCCGTGAAGAAAGAGAAAGAGTTAATGTTTCAGGTCCCATGACCCTTGATCAGCTGAAGGGGGTCATGTGGATCCAAAACGTTAACTCTGCTTTCTCTCTTCACAGATGCTGCCAGACCCGCTGAGTTTCTGCAGCAACTTCTGTTATTGTTTCAGATTTCCAGCAGTTTTATTCTACCATTTCTACAATACAGGCTCTGAACTGGATTTCAATTTCACCTTTTAAGTACTTCATCGAGGACTAAAACCACAAGAGCAGATGAAATTGGTGTAGGAGTAGGCTGTTCTGCCCCTCAAGCCTGCTATACCAGTCAATACAATCACGGCTGCTCTACTCCACTTTCCCCTCTGTTCCCCAGTCTCATTTCCCTGAGAGACCAATAAGTCGGTATTAACCATGACTACAGCACTCCCAGCCATCTGGGACAGTGAGTTCCAAAGATACGCCACACTCTGAGTGAAGACATTCCTCCTCGTCGCAGTCCAAAATGCTCAGCCCTTTCCCTATCCTGGGGCTAAACAATCCTACAGTGTGGACCCTGTCAAAACCCTTCAGAATCCTGAACATTTCAGTGAGATCGCCTCTCACTCCTCTCAACTGTGTATGAGACAGAGTATGTGCTGTGTGCATGTGTATGCGTGTGCATGTGTGTATATGTAGGAGTGTGTGTGCATGTGTATATGAGTGTGCGTGTGTGTATATATATGAGTGTGTGTCTGTGTGAGTGAGTGTGTGTATGTTTATTTGAGAGTGTGTGTGTGTGTGTTTATTTGAGAGAGTGTGTGTGAGCATCTGTGTGTGTGTGTATTTATTTGAGAGAGTGTGTGTGTGTTTATTTGAGAGAGTGTGTGTGT